AAATTCTCAGCTCTTATGTGCAGAAAAGATTTACAAGGATGTTGCCAGGTTTGGAGGGTTTGAGTTATAGGGAGAGGCTGAACAGGTTTAGGCTATTTTCCCCTGGAGCGCCAGAGGCTGAAGGGGGAACCTTAAAGAATTTTATAAAATTATGGCAGGCATGTATGGGGTCAATAGTCAAGGTCTTTTCCCAAGGGTAGGGGGGTCCAAAATTAGAGAGTGTAAGTTTAAGGTGAGAGGGGAAAGATTTAAAAGGAACCTAAGTGGCAACATTTTCCAGGCAGAGGGTGGTGCATGTATGGAATGAGGGGAAGTGGTAGTGGCAGGTACAATTACAACATTTAAAAGGCATCTGGAGGGGTACATGAGAAGGAAGGGTTGAGGGGTATGAGCCAAATGGGACTAGGTCAAATTGGGACATCTGGTCAGCACGGATGAGTTCGACCAAAACAGTCTCTTACCTTGCTCTATAGCTATAATTTTCCAGTTAGGTTTGGGTTAAACTCTAAACACAAAACTACTTTCAACCAATCTCTCCAAGGGATGGAATATATTTCAACCATTATAATTGGATCAATTATTCCACAGAGGTACAAAGAAAGTGCAAAACAAAAGGAGTCTAAAAGAAAAAAAATTTCCTCACAGAGCTATCTGGGTTAAAAAACACTACCGCTGGCAGAATTACAAAGCTCTGCATACCATTCAATGCCAAATGATCAAAGGAGTTTTTGTAAACCATCCAGTAGTGAGGCAGATCTATTAAAAGAACACACAAGGAAAATTTTTTTTTTTAAAAATCAAAGAAAATTAAGAGCAACTACAAACAATTAGTTTCAAGGCACTGAAAGAAAATTTAAAACCACCACGTTCCACCATTATAGATGCCAATCTTTGTGTTGATTCACTCCATGGGATAGCAAGTCAGCAACTGCAGTGATCACTATGGGTCCTGACAATATCCCTCCCGTCATATTGAATACCTGTGATCCAGAAATTCAGCCCTCTAGCCAAACTGCTCCAGCAAATCTCCAATATTAGCAGCCCCCCAATATGCACCTACCTCCACAAACAAAATACAATCCAACCAATTCCTAACTGACCAGTATACACTATCAGAAAAAAGTGATGAAGGAAGGTGTTTCAAGGGTGTTATCTAGTGGCATTTACTCACCCTTAACTACTCATTGACGTTAGGTCAAGTTCAGTAAACTCCACTCTGAACGTAGACCCGGGGAGGGGTGGCTGAAATATAAATACAAGAAGTCTCCCATTTAGGATCAAAATTAACGGGGTCATTAGTCTTTGGCATTCCCTTCTGGGCAGCAGCGGAGAATGGGCCATTAAATGTATTCAGGGTTGATTTAGACAAGAATGTTGATTTGAAAGAAGGTTATTTTGGAAAGACAGGACGTTATGGTTAAGGCCACCAATGACCAACTGGCCTACTTCTATTTCCAAGCTGAGAGATAGTAAGAACTGCCGATGCTGGATTTCTGAATAAGGGTCCCGGCCCGAAACATCAGCTTTCTGCTCCTCTGATGCTGCCTGGCCTGCTGTGTTCTCCAGCTCCACACTTATCTCTATTTCCAAGCTTCTGCCCAAATACTGAACTCCAGAAGTCAAGTAGGTGTGACTGGTCTTGACATCAAGGCAGCCTGTGTTTCAGTGTGCCACCACGCAATCCTAAAAAATTCTGACTCAAGTAAAATATTGTGGCTGTTGGAAAACAAAGTAAAAGAAATGCTGGAGAAACACAGGAAGTTTGGCAACATCTGTTGAGAGAGAAAAACAGTCAATACTTTTAATCCGGTATGACTCTTCTGCAGAACGCAAGCTCCTAAAAAAAATCTGAAGTCGGCGGGTATATGGGACAAAACCGTCATGCTTACAGCCACGTCAAGCATCAAGAAAGATGGCTGTAGTTCTTCAGGCCAATGTTGTCAGCCCCAGGACATCATTATAGAAATTTTCTCAGGTGTTGTCTTGGGCTAACTGTGTCATTGAGTACCATTATCTCATCCAAAAGTTTACTGACGTTTGAATAGCTCCATTTGCATTTTCCCAAATAAAGTCATCCATGACCATGCTCAGAAACATCTTGACAATAGCAAACTTCGGGCTAATTAGTGGTCAGTAAAAGAGGGAGTCTAATCATCCCTCAATGACATTCATTCAGTCACGTCACATCCTGCCAACATGCAGCAGCCCACCAGTGAACAAAAGCTCAGCTGATCCAGCCATAGATTTACAGTGGTCACTCAATCAGGTCAGAGGGTTGAGTGTTTGCAGAACTCCTTGCCACAGAGCTGTGGGAGCAGAGTCCTCGTGTATATTTAAGGTCGAGACAGACAGATTCTTGATCAGTTGGGCAATCAAGCATTACAGGGAGAGGGCAGGAAAGCGAATGTGAGGAATGTCAAATCAGCCATGGTCCTATTGGATGGTGCAGCAGGGTCAAGGGGCCAAACAGCTTACTCCTGTTCCTATTTCTATAGATGACTCATCTCCCGAAATCTCAAAGTCACTCCACAATCTCAAAACATCCACACACTGTAACCATGATAGCAGAGTTGCAGCACCTGCAATTCAAAGGTTAGACTGCATCAAGATTTCAAAAGCATGCCTCAAATCCACAATATCTATCACCAGAAGGTCATAGGCTACAAAATCATAAGTCCTCAATTTCAGCCATGGTAAAGTACCATAGATCAGCAAAATAGTCAAACTTGAAAGGGAAACACTTCTCTTTTGTACCATCCAGCACCTGAGGGTTTACAACAGCAGAACCTTCATCTCTCAGATATTGTAATTCACACTTGGATGCAGTTAATAACATCTCATGTCTGATTATATGATTAACTGTTCAATTATATAGGTTCAAAAAACTGTCACATCAGTATTGCAACAACTTGGAAGTAGAAAATGCTAACCTTTCATTCAGCATATCAGGCAACAGGTGACATTACATCATTCCTTTTCTATTGCAAATTGGTCACCCCCCTACCACTGTTCCCATCCCATACTGATTTGTAAGGTTACTCTGAAAAGACGTGCTGAATATCACAGTAGATTCAATCTTGATTTGAGCAATAATTGCAAGTTGGATGAGCAAAAATGATGCAAGAACAAATTGCAGACATTTGTACAAGAGTCTAAATTAACTAATTTCTCTTAATAACTTACTGTTTTAGAATGCAGTACATTAAGAGCAAGAGAGCAACTCAAGAGAGTAGGGCCCCTTAAAGATCAAACAGGTCGCCTTTGTGTTGAACCTCAGGAGATGGGAGAGATATTAGATGAGTATTTTGCATCAGTTTTTACAGAGGAGAAAGAATGGAGGCAAGAGAACTCAAGGAAATAAATACTGACGTTTTGAAAACAGTCCACATTACAGAAGAGGAAGTGCTGAGGTTGAGGGGTGACATTGTAGAGGTTTATAAAATCATGAAGGGTATAGATGAGGGGAATGGCAGATGTCTTTTCCCTAGGGAAACGGATTTCAAGACTAGGGAGCATATTTTTAAGGTTACAGGAGAAAGATTCTAAAAAGACATGAGGCAACATTTTTTTTTAAAATACACAAGAGTGGTTTATGTCAGGAATGAATTTCCAGAGAAGTGGTATATGTGGGATAGAGTTACAACATTTAAAAGACATTTGGATAAGTACATTAATAAGAAACATTTGGAGGGATATGGACTAAGTGCAGTGCAGGTGGGGCTAGTTTAGTTTGGGATTATAGTTGGAATGGACTGGTTAGACTGAACAGTGTTTCCATGCTGTATCACTATGACTATAGGCTGTGCTTTAAAAACATAACTTATTTAAAGACAGAGTCTAAAATGGAGAGAAAATATGAAGAATGTATGTTTAAGCTATTGCTTTTACTTTATAAAAGCAAATTTAGACCTTCAAAATTATGCACTTGCAATGTGACCCATGAGGCTTTTAATGCCTCTGGAACCTTCCATAGTTTTCATTTTAGGAGATGCTGATTATTAGTAATAACCACACTGCAATCACATTTCTATGAATCCCTTCCGTATTGTCGACAAAGTGCATTTTTTTTGTTAATGCCCAATAAATTCAATTTCTTGCCTTAATAAATCATGAGCAGAGCAGTGCTGTCAATATATATAGTGAGATATTAAATGAAAAATTAAGAATAATTCTGGTAATTGCCTACAGAAAAGCAAAAACAGTGAAGAGGAAAGCAAGGAGAGTGGAGGATAAACCAAGAGAGATAACTGCTGGATAGAGTTGAAAATGGGTTGGCTGTGCTGGGAACAACCCAGACTGAAAAAAACAAAATCAGCATGGCGAATGGGGAGTGAAGGAGGATGCTCACCTTCTGAAATTGTGGAACTCAAAATATGGAGTCCTAAAGCCTGTAAGGTACCTTGTCAGAAGAGGAGATTTTCCTCCAGCTTGCCTTGAACCCTGTTGAGTGTACTGCAGCAGGCCTGTGGAAGAAGTGTTGGCCAGAGAGCACAGTAGTGCTGAAGATGCAGCTCAGGATCATTTGTAATGAATAGAAAGTAGGTGTTCTGCAATGCAGTCATCCAATCTGAGTTTCATCTCCCCAGTGTAGAGGAGACCACATTGTAAGCATTGAAGGAAAAGCAGGTAAATCGCTGCTTCAGCTCCAAGATTTCTCTGGGGACCTGGTAGATGAGGAGGGATGTGGTAAGTGAGCAGGTCTTGCATTGTCTGCGATTACATGGGAAAATGAGGGGGTATAGTGAAGTTTTCGAAGTGGAAGAGCATGTTCTGGAGCAAACAGTCCCTGAAGAATGCTAACAAGGAGGGGATGGGAATGTGCGTCTGGTGATGGCATCTTGCTGGAGGTGTGGGAAATAGCAGCCTATGATCCTACAGAATAGGGAAGCTGGTAGCCTGAAGAGTGAGGACCAATGGGATCCTATCGCTGTTCAAAGTAAAATTGGAAATCTTTAAATATTGCAACTCAACCCTCAAATAACCCATTCCAAGCTACTCACAGGAATTATGCCTCCGACGAAACGCTTTAGACGGAGTAAGGGCTGAATCAATATGACGGTCCACATAACTTTTAGAATACTGTTGGGGAGATGTGACTAAGTCCTGAACCTTAGGTTCCGCACGGCGTGGAATTGTTTGTGGGGCACTTCCTGAAGTGTTTAGTTTCTTTATACTTTTGCCGGCACCATTCGGAGAGGAGTAAGTACCGTGTGACAAGCTGGTGGTCGTGATCACAGAAGGCTGAATCAAGCCGGTGTTCATCTGTGTATGTGGGATGTCTAATATTTTCAGGTCCTTGATATCAATTGCACTGGAAAAACAAAAGACAAAGTGGAGTTTAGGTCTTTGTTATCAATTGTACTGGAAAGAAGACAAAGTAGAATTGCACAAAACTAAAATTTGGCTCCTAAACACTGATATTTGCCACTACTATATGCTTTTAAAATGCTATTAAAATTTACTGTGGCTTTACTTGATAATCTCCACGAAACTACAAGATTGATTTATGTTCAGCAATAGATCAAGATGAAGTTAAAAGCATTCACAATATATAAAACAATAATTGTCTTTACTAATGAACATTAAATACAGTTCTTGATCGTACAGACACTTTAACAGCCTACCATTCCAAATATTCTCCTGTTTCCTGGCTATGTAATAAAGACATTTGTATAAATGTTGTGTTGGTGCATGCAAAGATTTATCCCTCTATTTTTTGGTCTGCCAACATCAACAGCTGTTAAAACATTAATATTAAAGATAATTTTTTGAAGTTCTAGAGCTTGACTTTAAAATAAAAATGCCAACGGAAAAAAAACGAATTTAAACATGAAGGGGCTTCATTGAGCAAAGTTAGTAAAATTGGGTTAACATGTTTCAGGAGAACTGTGAATTTCAGAATAGGAAACAGAGGGTTGGTGTATCAGGCAACATCTGCACAAGAACTTTAAAACACTGCACTGTTTCTCTCACACATTACCCAATGTTTCTTTATAAGTCCCGAGTCACATCAGTAATGCCATGATGATGCAAGTGCAAATATGATCTGGAAACAGTCAGACCACAATTGTTGCAGTAAAAACAAAACCTATAGAATTATAAATACAGCTTATCCAAAAAAAAAATCAAACATTGCCTGGAGAAAGTAATTTCTGTTATATAACTCTGGAATAAAATACTGATAGCTATCAGTATGTCAGCTGCCAGTGGCAAGGTGACAAAACCTACTTCCTGTTCACAGTTCTGCATTGACTTTCTCCATTATAAGTCCAAAGTTATTGGAAAAAACTGCATACGTCTAAACTTGTCAACACGATGGCTCAAAAGTACCACAGTTTTCCATCTGTAAGATCCTCAAGCTGCATAGCAGAGAAAACACCTTTGTGTCAACCAAGTTGCTCCTGAAGAAATGTCAAAAATTTTGATCCTTAGCTTCAATGGAAAAACATGACAAGAGTGTGGGGGAAGGAGAGGGGGACACACAGAGGGGGACACACAGAGGGGGACACACAGAGGGGGACGTCTTATGATCTTAAAATAGTAGCCAGTCCTGGTCAGAGTACAGGTTCACAGGTGAACATGACTTGATCCAAGTTAAGACACGGGAAATAAAGAGGAAGAAAATTTAAAAGATTAAATTTAAAATTTAATGTATTTTGCACACTGAGTAGTTGGAGTAGAAAATGAACTATTTGGAGTTGTAGAGACAAGTTGAAATGAGGCATTCAAAAGGGTATAGGATGATTATTTGTATATAAATAATGTGCAAGGATATGGAGATAAAGCAGGAAATTGGTAGCAGGTAAAATGAAGCTCGTTTAAAGAGTTGGTGCAAACACAACAAGTCAAATGGCCCTCTGTACCAGAGCACTTGCGACTCTGAACTATCAGAATTAGTGACTGAAGTAGAAATCAGAGGACTATCTAAGAACAGAATGAAAGAAAATAAATCAATGAGAGAATATGGCAACCACATGGAATTCAGGCATTTTGTGTGCAAGATAAACAATGGACTGGTTGGATCATGCAGACTGTTTTCTTACTGTTATTTATTTCAATATAACCTGTTTTTTGAAGTACATAGCCAGGATTTCTGCCAGCACAACAAGGTGCCACACTTAATTTGGTCAAGCATCTGAACTAAATTAGATTTTCCATTTACCTCATGGCTGTGTTACATCAGGCAATGTCTGAAACAACCAACAACCATTTGAAGAAATTCAGTTTAATTACTATCTTTTATACACCAGGAAAGAAGTCTGAAGGCATTGATTATAATGTCCTAATTCACAGGTGACAGCCCTGGAGCCACAGATGGCCACAAAAACATTGCTTTCTTAGTGCACACAAATAACGGACGGTAAATTGCTGTGGACTGATATCACTTAACTGCATGTGCTAATAACTTTCACGAGGGGACATGATTTGAGAATTAACAGGAGAATAAAAACATTTTATTAGAATACAATTAGGTGGAGATTAGGTTCTCACTTCACCGGGTTATATTAGGTATGCCCAAGCTTAATAATGCCTGAATTTTATGGGGCTACACTTTTCACCCAAAGCTTTTCATACACAGAATATCAGGAACATTCTGTTGCAAACTACTCTCAACGTAACTCTTTAAAACAGTCCCAATCCAACTAGCCTTGTGTTTTAATAAAGAAAACTTGTTGAAAAGAGAGACAAGCTATCTAAGCCAAAAACAGGAACATGTTCAAGTCCAGCACCCATCTTTTAACCCAAGAGCTGAGGAAGCCTACAGATCCCCACTGCTTTCTCTGTGGCAATATCTCAGCTAATCAAAGTTGACTTGCCAACCTACCAATAACCATGTTGCGCTCTTGTAACAGAAACTGTTACAATTGTTTGTAATTAGGCATCATATCTGTCCTAATGCATACAAGATAAAGAATTTCTGATAGGATGATTCTAGATATACATGATCAAAGTACATTCTGCTGAGCACAAAACAGGGTAATGCAAACATACAGGCTTCAGTAAACACCAACAGATCTGTAGGAACTGGGAACGGTAACAACTAAACATATTTAGAATGACTTTAGAAGTGTAACATTACATAATAACTGGTATTTTACTCCCAATTATACCACCAGTTAAAGGTCTCGTCATACTTCCTGTACTTCAAAATTCTTACATGTGCAGACTGCTGAGTGGACATAAACTCCTGACTGCCTCAAATCAGCACCACTTCAAACAAAAAAAAACAGATGAAACGGCTTTCTCTTTTAACCTAAGAAGGAAGATTTCAAACTGGAAAGCATTTGCTCAACAAATTGTCAATAAATATTCCAGAGGCATACCTCTACAAAATGGTTTCAGCAACAAAAGAGTCTAGTCCCCTTCAACCTGTCACCTTCCAAGCCTCCGAGAGAACTAAGGAGAACAATTATAAGCCCCAGTCAAGGTGACTGAGACACTTTTGTGGGGATACTGCAACATAAAAATCCTCTCTAAAAATCATCCAAGTTTGATGACAAGATCGTCAACCGTACTGCTAAGTACCTTTGTTCAAGTATATGGTCAAGTACAAGCACATTAAATGGCTGCAAGTAGTTGGCATTGAAGTCATTGAAATAACAGCACTTACCTAAACGTTAACTCGGGAACTGAACATTTCACTCCATTGCGGAATGGCTGTGTTAGAGAGATTGTCTGACTGGCTTGATCCACTGCAGAAATTTTTCCCTGATACACTCCAAGCGTCTCACCACAGTTAATAGAAACAAGGCTCCCAATCCAATTTACAGCCATCCTCTACAGCACAACTGAAAAAAAAGTCAAGGAAACAGTTGTTATTTGTTTCATTCTTCATCTATCAGCTTTAATTTCTAAATTTATCCTCAAACTATCAGCAGTACTATAACCAGGCACTGCAGTCTGTGAATCAAGATAAAAGTAATGGTGCCATACAAAATACAGCAACTTCTTATTCCACTGTATTATCTATTCTTTGTTTTTTGTTGAAAACATGCCTTGGACGGTTATCGTAGAATAGTTTGAAAGATGAAATGCACTGCAACATCTAATAGTACAGCATAATAGCGGCTTTTATTTAATATTTCAAGTCCATGTTTCAATTATTTGACATTGATAAATTACTGAAGTAAAAGCAAAATACATTTTTTGAAAATTCTTCTTCCAGGAACCACACTTAATTTATCAAAACAAAAACACCTTCTCAACAGGTCAGAAAGATTTACCTACTCAATAGAGAGATCACATACACCTAAAAATACCAAGATTTAATCTGTGATCTATGCTCAGTTAGTTAGTTCCTTCACATTGCAGGGACAAAACATGCTGGATTTCCATACCAACAGTATTGTGGGTCGACTGACAGCACAAGGACTGCGGCAGTTCAAGAAGGCAGCTTATCACCACCTTCTCAAGGGAAACTGGGGACAGGCAATAAATTTTAGCCCAGACAACAACAAGCTAATAATGCAGCCAAATAGCTCTCTGCCACATTGCATCAAACCCTCATGAATAAATCGACACTTGGGTTGAATACTGAGACAATTTGAAAGCCAATGCTTTCAAGGAGAACATCTCTGAAAAGGCAAAGGAGAAAACCCAAAAACAATATTGCTTTTAACTTTTCATTTCACTTCACTTCCAAAACTTAAATGAACTAATAATTATCATGGCTCAGAACCATCAACACTCACCAAACGTTGGTGTTCTTATCCCACATTCTTTGATATTCACACAAACAATATTGTTTCCTTTAGTTCCATACCAGGTGTCACTCTGCAATCAAAATAAGCAGGCAACTAACCTATCCCCTTCACCGCTCCTTCTTAGGCATTCCTTCTAAATACAGCAAGACGTTCTTCCACTCCAATGTTGTGGGTCCTGAAGTGACTAAACAGTTCACTGTTAGGTCTGCAAAATCTGTCACAAATGGGATGTTCAGCTTTTTGCCTCTTCAGTTGCTTGTGTTTAACGTCCACTTGGGACTGTCAGAGACACAGATTGATACCTTCACAGATGTTTCATCTACAGGTTGGACAGTCTTGAGCAAGCAATGTTCCACACGTTGATGGGAATATTGCAGTTGATTTTTGCCCTGACGTATTTGGAACATTAGCACTCCAGTAATATTTTGGTCTATAAAACAACTGAATCAAAAAGCAAGAGTGAACCATGCCACATGAGTGCTTGGCCTCCACAGTGCTGCTCTCATCTCTAGTGACTGCAGTGGGGAGCCTTCAAGTGTACAGTTACATATCCAGTGTACAGCACTCTTAAATGCCTTGAACCACAAAAACATACTATTTTAAACTACTTTCTAGTAAACGGTTGCAACAAGTCATTTAAGTAAAATTAAACTGTACAATTAATATCCCACATTCTGTGAATGTCACTGATCCCTCAAATTTTGGTAATCTTGAAAATTATTGCAATCTCATTCAAATGATGAGTAATTCATGTAATTGCAAAAGGAATTTTCAAATTTACAAAGAGGCTCTGCACAAAATAGAATACCTGACTCAACACTTGTCAAAATTGGGAAAAAAAAAGTGAACACTTAATTCAAATATTAACCATTTCTCCAGAACACTTCAAAAATTTTTAAACTTACTGCAAAATGTTCAATGGCATGCAATTTTATCAAAATATTACATCCCATCACTACCATGAGGGAAATTTGTAGCACAAGGCACAGAAAGCAGGGCCACAGTTCCATACAAATGTCTGGAATGATTTATCAGTTTAAAAACAAACCAATATGAATTTTAAAACCATGCCTCAAAATCTGGAGTCAAAAACCATACAACCTGTATATTAAAAATGCTACTACCTATAAACAAATCATTATGTCCCTACTTAGAATCCATCAGTAAAGTATCACATTAGAAATTAGAACCCCTTGAAAATTTTACCTTTGAATGAAAGTATTGGGTCATTCTTAAGTCAACAACACTCTTGGCTTATAACATCCATTTTGTACAACAGCAAAACTCCAAAACTGGTAAAATTGCATACATCATAATTCAATACAAAATACAAGTTTTATCATTTCAAGCTGAGAACACTATCAGCTAAAAACAACATTCGGCATGGTGATTGTGGTATATATTGCCTGTTCCAACACTGAGCCTGCACACTCTCACTAAAGTGTGAGCACACAAATCCTAAAACGAGGCTTCAAACACATATGACTGTAAGGATTTGTCTCTTCTCTCCTGCCACTACATCAATATAAATGCAGCAGGGAGTTGTCTAGATTTGCCTAGTTTCGAGGGCTTCTGAAATAGAGCAAAAAAGCAGAATATGGCAATTTGAATGAAGAACATTTGCAGTAGCTCTCTCCCAGATATCCACATACTTATAGCCATTGCTGTTTTCACAGAGAGACTATTAGAGGGGAGGGAGACCTGTTGAAAACTTTTGAAGTGACAGAAGCACCAGTTGCTATAGCATGAAAGAGGCCTGTAAATGGACAAACAAACCAACAAACTATAATTCTTTCCTTTGAGATACAGGCACCATTGGCAAGGCCAAACTTTACTGTGGATCCCTAACTGCTCTTAGCCAAGTGGATTACTAGGCCACTTCAGAGGGTAATTAAGAGTAAACCGTATTATCAGTTCTGGGGAAGGATCATCAGACCCAAAACATTAACTCTGATTTTTTTTTTCCTTCACAGATGCTGCCAGACCTGCTGAAGTTTTCCAGCATCTTCTGTTTTTGTTCCATATTGCTGTAGGTGTGGAATAATACATAACCCAAACCAGAGAAGGATGGCAAACTTATTTTCCTCATAAAACCAGGTGAATTTTTGAGAACATTGATGATGGTTGCCATGGACCCCATTGAGATTAGCTTTAGATTCCAGGTTTGAATAACTGAACAGGCATTCCACCAGTCACTTGGATGGAATTTTAAACCAAAGCCTCACAGCATCAGCCAGGCTTGCTGGATTACTAGTCCACAGTGTCATTTTCACTATGCCTCCATACTCTCCCCTCACCATCACCGAAGGAGTGGGCTGCTGCTGCAAAAAAGATGGACCAGACATTTGCTGTTGACTAGACTGGAGTGGATGGTAGGCCCAATCCAACTTCCAGGCCTAGCAGTATCCAATCTCCTCACCCACCCGCAGACCCAGAAAGAAAATACACGCGTTTCCCGTTAGACACCTCGCGACAAGCTCGGCAGGATCCCTTACGTCGTGTCTAAAGAAGGGGACGATGTGAAAATGAGCTGGCCAGCGACCCTCACTGAGATTCAGCAACGACAGCAAACACACATCACTCCACCATCGCCCGTCCCACTTCTGCGCCTGCGCGGGCCGCGCGCTGACATCACTCCCTCTTAGCAACCAGCCTTCACTTCCGGCCCTCCTCTCCCTCCCATGGCAACGGAGGGACAATCTCCATCGCAGGGAGATCCACTGAAAGTCAGCAGCACTGCTCTTCTTAACGAAAATCGGTTAGTAATCAAAATATTACGGAATGAACCTGTTCAGAGGTGTCTGCTTATTGCACACTTCTGGAGGAATTTGAACTAGGGTCTCCGAGCTCAGAGGCAGGGACACTACCACTGCACCACAAGAGCCCGTAGGGTCTAGCTAGCATCTCCCAATCACCAGACCACGCCGATTGATCAGTCTGTAGATATCTTATAATCATCTTGTTCAGAGATGTTATTGCACACCTCTGAAGCAGGTAGAACTTGAGTCCAGGTCTCCTGGCTCAGAGGCAGGGTTTCAACGACTGCGGCCCAAGAGCCTTTGCTTCGTAATCAATTCTTAATTACTATTAATCATTCAAGACGCTCATTCTTCATTTGATGACTTCCAGCCCTTTAAGGGGTCTATAGCAACCCTGTGACTCAATGAAAGTTGTCCTACAGATACTGTAATTTTAAGTTCATATATATGTATATCTTCACAATTATGAAAATCACAATGTTTAGTCAATTCAGGCTGGAGGATGTCTTTTTAATGTAGTAGAATGTTATGAGCAGTAAGAAAACTGATACTGAACCACATAATGGTATTAGGATGTGTGATTAAATGCTGAGTCAAGGAGATAAATTTTAAGCAGCGTTGTAAAGAGGAGGGAGATGCAGAGAGTTTTGGGAAGAGAATTCCAGAGCTTGAAACCCACGTTCCTGAAGGGGGATCTGTCAACAATATAATAATTTAAAAATTGGGAGTGCAAAAAAGACCAACATTTGGGAAAGGGCAGTGATCTTGGAAGATTGTAGAGCAAGCATGATGTTAAAATTATGGATTTATTTGGAATGCATGTAGGATATATGGCAAGCTGCTGACATTAACAGGCACCAACAAGGCTCCTTTCCAAAGAGTGAAGCAAAGCTTTTAAACCTTGACATCTCAAAACTATTTTAAAGAAGGGAAATTGATAACTTACTTGAGAAAAATGAATGTTGAAAGATAAGGGGACTGATTTCAAGAGTGTGATTAGACTGTATGTCTCGTAGAGAGAAAACATTGGCATTGATTAGACAATTTCTGTTATGATTCTGTGATAAAGATTTTTTCAGTAGGATCTTATCTAACAATGAGTCAATAATGCTAGAGAGGGCGTCATTAAAACCTCCAAGGTTACAAAAAAATGACTTGAATATGTAGTAAATAAAGAAGGAAAGACATTTACGTGATGCTTTTCATGACCGCCAGACATCCCAAAGCATATCACACACTGTGAAATACTTCTGAAGTGTGGTTCCCGTTTTGATGTAAGAAATAAGACAGCCAGTTTGCACACAGCAAGATCTCACAAACAGCAAGGTGACAAGGGCCAGATAGCCCTGTTATTATTGATGTTTATTGAAGGATAAATATCAGCCAGCACATCAAGGACAAACCTCCTGTTCTTCCATAGAATAATTCCATGGACTATTTTACATTCACCCAAACAGATAGGCCCGTCCTCAGTTTGCCTGAAAAACAGACCCTCAAACAGCACAATTTTAACCTCGTGCTGCAGTGGACTAAGGGACGTGAGATTTGTGCGTAGACCCTGGAGTGAGACTTGAACCAGACCCTTGTGGTACCATCTAGTGAAATTAGAATTGAGTTGCTTGAGTTGTGGTAAAAACAGAAAGAGCTGGAAATACTCAACTGATCTTGTAGTATCTGTTGCGAGAGAAACAGATTTCGTTTTGAGTCAAATGTGATTCTTTTGTTGAACTGAAGGAAGCTGGAAATGTGATGGGTTAAGTGCCGATGAAATGTTGGATGGAGAGGATGAGCAAAAGCAAAGGAGGATTTAAATAACAAAGATGTTATGAAACAAAGGCAAAGAGCAAAGTAATGGATATAGTGAAGAACCAAAGCATTAGTCCAGCCTGAATGGAAGAATAATAAGCAGCTCTGACCAAGAGCAAAAGCACAAAAACAAGAACAGCACATGGCAAAAAAAAAGAAAATCACGATGTAGGAGCAGTGCTCATGGTCTGAAATTGTTGAACTCAATATCAAGTTCAAAAGCCTGTAAAAAGTGCCTAATCAGAAGATGAGATGTTTCTCGAGCTCCACTGGAATAGTGTAGTAGGCAAAAGACTGAGATATTAGCAAGATCAAATAAGATTACAAGAAAGCAGAAGCCTATGGTCATGCTTGTGGGCTGAGGCAGAGGCATTCCACAAAATGGTCACTCATTCTGCATTTGGTTCCTTGGTGTTAAAGATACCACAATACAAGTAGTAAATATTACATACTAAATTAAAAGTAGTACAGGTAAATTGTTGCATCACCTTGAAAGAGCTAGGTCTTGGACAATGATTGCAGGTGGCGGTGGCGGTGGTGGGGGTGGTGCGGGGGGTGCGGGGAGCGGGGTAAGGGGAAGGTGTTACACCTCTTGTGACTGCTTGAGTATTTGCCATGGGAGAGATAATGGCTATGATTTGAAGAGAGGATCAGTGTGTTTCAACAAAAAAATGTCCCTTTGCAGTACTCAGGAGAGGGAGGATACGGCGATGTTATTGTAGTAGAGGAGACAAAAGTTTTGAGGGTCAAATTTACAGGTTTCAATGCCACATGTGGCTGAAGTTAAATTTGGATAAGGCTTTAAAAGCAAGACATTATAATAAAGGAATTTCAGGTTGATGAGATTGATCCAATTGACTGGTCTGTTTCTGTGCTGTAAGTCCTATTTAATTCTATGTAAGGACTCTTAACAGAGTGGAGGAACACAGGAGATCCAAGTTGAATAGAGATTAGCCTATTTAGGAAAGAATTCTGGCTGCAAAATGCAATAAAAGGCCATTTTCATTCTGGGTTTGTATGCAGAGGAGCATTAAATGTAAGAAGAAAGTGATGCTAAATCAGTGCAAGGTGATAATTAGATTGCAGCTGGAGTATTGTGATTGGAAGAACATCAGAACCACAAATGGCTACAGAATGATGAGAAACAAGAAATTATAATTACAGAGCAAGTTTTGAAACAGTGGGCTTTTCCCCCCAGAAGAGTGAAGATTAACTGGGATGTAATGGGTTTTCATAAGTATAAATAGTCTTGATGTGGCAAGTAGTGAAATATTGTTTCGACTAGATCATGAATTAATAACAAGGGAGTACACACTCAAACTTGCCATTGCAAGAACAAAATTAGAAGTTAAAAGAAACATTTTCACAGGTATTAGACCATGGAATACTTTACAAGATGGGATTATTGAGGTACTGTTGATAATATAAAAGGAACTTGGCTAAATATTTGGAAAGAGAAGATTATAGAAGGTCCAGTGGAAATGGTAAGTGAAATTGTTTTTTGACTTGACAGTTCCAGTATGTCAGGAACATAAATGCTAATGTTAAAGATGCACTATAATTTCTATATGAGTCATGAACATCAAATCACTTTGAAGTATATTACTGTAATAATTATCTTGTGCTAAGCGAGGGTACGCAAATAGGATTGGTGATAAATAACCAGATAATCAGTACCTCTAGTGGTAGTAGTTGATGAAAGTGTATTATCCAGGAGACCTCCCTTTTAAAAGAAACACCATGGAATCAGAGTGGATTAGGCAGAACAGGGATCTGTTTAACATTTTGTCTAAAGGATGGCACCTCTAACAGTGTAGCGCAGCCTTAGCACTGTTTTAGATTTTTAGCCTGGATGTGGAGTTCAAAACCACAACTTCAGAATTAGGGTCATTGAGATATAAAGCACGGAAACAGACCCTTCAGTTTGACTCGTCCATGCCGACCAGTTTTCCTAAATTAACCTAGTCCCATTTGCCAGCATTTGGCCCATGTCCCTCTAAACTCTTCCTATGCGTATACCCATCCAAAAGCCCAATCAATGTTGTAATTGTATCAGCCTCCACCAATTCCTCTGGCAGCTCGTTCCATACACAAACCACCCTCTGTGTGAAAAAGTTGCTGTTCAGGTCCCTTTTAATTCTTTCCTCTCTCACCTTAAACCTATGCCCTCTAGTTTTGGACTCCCCTACCTTGAGAAAAAGACCTGACTATTCACCCTAATCATGCCCCTCATGATTTTATAAACTTCTATAAGGTCGCCCCTCAGCCTCCGATGCTCCATGGAAAATAGCCCCAGCCTATTCAGCATCTCTCTATAGCTCAAACCTCCAAGCCTGGCAACATCCTTGTGATTCTTTTCTGAACCCTTTCAAGTTTCACAGCATCTTTCCCATAACTGGGAGACCCGAATCGAATGCTGTATTCCAAAAAAGACCTAACTAATGTCCTGTGCAGCCGCAACATGACCTTCCAACTCCTTTACGCAATGCAGTGACCAATAAAGGCAAGCATGCCAAATGCCTTCTTCACTACTCTGTCTACCTGCGACTGCACTTTCAAGGAACTATGAACCTGCACTCTAAGGTCTCTTTGTAAACACTATTTATAATATTTCAACTAAGCTGAGACTTAAGATTTGTTACATCAAATGTTAACAATTTAATATCAAGTATAACTAATTTGTTAACGAAGTAATGTCAATATAACTAATTTGTCAGACAATCAATTGTCCCATGCCTTCTGATAGTTACATTTCTATCCATTGCTGAAGCCCTTACCCATTCTCTTGTTTTCTCCAGACTGAGTGTGTCAATACCATCCTGGCAGGTCACCCATAAACATAAGAATATCCAAAGCTCTGTTGTTCACATCATAACCCATTCTGTCTTCTATTCATCTACCATACTTTTGCATGCTGGCTTGGACTGTCTCCCAGTCGCCAACATTGATTTTCCTGTTTAAATCCCATCCCTCCCTATCTCTATAACTTTCTAGCCCTACAGACCAGTAATATGGTTCATCACCATGTTTCTTCATCTTCGGGCTGTTCTGAATCCACTGATCCTATCAACCCATCATTTATGGACATGCCTTTAGCAGTTTTCGCACAAAGTTCTGGAACTCTCTCCTTAAGCTTTGGTTTCTCTACCTCCATCTCCTTCAAAACCCTCCTTAAATCTACCAAACCTTTAGTCAACTAATCTAATATCTCCTTTTAGTTTGGTGATAGTTTTTGTCTAGCTGTACTGCTAAAAGCCCAATATATATTAAGTAGTTATATTGTT